TTAATTATTTAAATGATTGGCTTATATTGGTTCTTACAGTTACCACAAACAACTCAGTTCTCATTTGATTAAGCCCCTATATATATATATATATATATATATATATATATATCTATTATTTTGGATGGAGGGAATAATAAGGGCGCTGCGCAGGCATTCAACCCACGTATCATATGTTATGAGCGGCTGACATTTGGTGCGGATGCGGACACAACAAAACAACCATATCTTCTTCCAACCCTCAAATCCACGGATTCCCTCCATTAACCCAACACCCTTCCCCTTCCCCTTCCCCTTCCCCATGAAGGCTTTCACTCTCTTCGGAACTTCCGACACCCTCTCCCTCTTCGGTGTTGCTGCTCTTGCCTCCTCCTCCTCCCCCTCCCCCTCCATCTCCATCTCTATCTCCTCCCGGTAATTTTCCCTTTTCAATTTACACGCATATTTTCATATCTACAAACCCTGATTGCTCAATTTTGTTTCCCTTGTTCTTACTTCTATCCTATGACTCTAGGCTTTTATTGTTTTTCAGAACTAACAACATGATTCAGTTTCTGTTTCTTACCTTAACCATCATGCTTCTGTTGTATTAGTTCCTTATAAAACTCATATATCTTCTAAGCTTTCTATAGATTTGCTATTTTTAGAATTAATGATTCCTTGAAGAAGCTTGTGATCAGAATCATGGAGGTCACTCTAACCTCAAATTCTGGTCTTCGGTTTCTAAAAGGTCTAATCTCTAAGCTAGAAATCCTGTCGGTTGGGTGAATTTGGATGGTGAGATGTGCTTACTGCTTCATATATATGGCAAATGGAGGGAGGCTTAGAACTACAAAAAAATCGGTGGCCATATATTGCTGCTCACTTAAATTTTGACTCATGCTGGATATATAGCATCCATTTACATCATCTTGTGTGTATTGTATTGTAGCCTAGCCTTGCACAGTTGCAGGTCCAATAGAAACACAAAGAGATCCACAAATATTTGTTAGTTTAGGAGTTCCAGATATCAATTTTTTGGAATCAAGTTACTCTAAACTAGATACAATTAACTCACAAAGGTTATGCTATAAGCTCTATGAGACATATCACTTAACGTCAGATATACTATAGAGTCAGAATGTGTTCTTTCTTTGAAACCTACTGAAGCAAGTGATTCGGATATGCTCTGCACGCTCTTAAAAACAAGTCTTGTATGGATGCAACACACACACTACCAAGAAGACTACTCGTTGCTGCAGTGAACATAATGGTTACGTACCATCATTGTGCTTCTTCACCTTTTAATCAGTACTTGTGTGGTTATGCATGTAATGTTGGAAAAGTGTTTGCATAGATCACATTGACATTGGAACTTCTGGAATCAAGTTATCCAATTTGTGAGTTTTCACATCTTTAGAAATTTCAGTGTCTTTATTGCTATTTAATACCAACCTCAGTTCTTATGCATTCAGGAACCAACGTTCTTTCCCTCAGAGGCTTTTCTTCTGTCGAGCAGAGAATGGTAAGCAAGTAAAAGTTCATCATCATCTAATCGTTTTTCTTTAATTTTTGTTGATGTAACGGTTATTTAGGGTTCCAGATAAGAAACGTTTTGATGGTTTCTTTTGTTGTATTATTCTGATATCTTGAATATGTAGCAGACGGGTCGGTGAGCTTAGTAAATGTGCCTCCAAATCTATTACTAGCAGAAAGAGAAGAAGCTAAGGCTGTATTGAACTTGTTTTTGAGGAAACAAGGCATGTCCCGTGTAAATGCAATCAGAAAGATCAAACAGCTGGACCTATTCATCGATCACCTTATTTCAAGACTTCACACTGTTTATAAAACCCGATATCTAGTAGGTTTGACTCCTCTACTTTGACCTGATTTTCTTATCATGGCTTGTTCAATATAATAGTTTGTTGGATATTGGTGATCAAACAACCGCTCAGAGGCCAGGTGCGCGATCCCCCTACCACCGGGTGGGATATACTGGGATTGTTTGTTTTCTATGAATGCAATATATGCCCTTAACTTATTATAATATAATGGTCCTTGCAGGACGAGAGCTTACGACTCTTGAAATCAGAGATGCTCTCATTCCTTACCTAGATGAACTCCTTGAGGAACATGGGGACAATTTGGTAGATGCCCTAGAATACTTTCCCATCCCTATAGTGAAAGAGAAATCAGAGGAAATCGATCAAAATCCACCTGCTGATATTATTGAACCTTCAACTACACATGCTTCGTCCCTATCCAGTGCTAACTCTAAGAAGCTGACAGCCATGGCACGAGTAAGCGATATCGGTGAAACACCAAATCTCCCTCCACATGTAGTATATCTTGAAGATCTCGGGATGGATCTCGAGGTTATTAAGGAAGTGATTCGAAAGTTCCCTGCCTTTGCTTACTACAGTTTGGAAGGCAAAATCAAACCAGTGGTGGAGTTCCTTGTTGACCTTGGTATAGCAAAGTCGGATATCCCTGTAATTATCAGCAAACGACCTCAATTATGTGGTATTAGTCTAACCGAGAATCTGATCCCAACCATGGCATTTTTAGAAGACTTGGGGGTGGACAAGAAAAAATGGGCAAAGGTTATCTATCGTTTTCCTGCCCTTCTGACTTATAGCAGATCGAAGTTACAAGCAACCGTGGACTTCCTTTACGAAATGGGGCTTTCTTCTGAAGAGGTGGGGAAGGTTCTCACACGCTTCCCATCGATCATAAGTTACAGCGTGGAGGAGAAGCTACGACCCACTGCTCATTACTTTCATTCGGTAGGAGTGAATGGTGGTGTGCTTATGTCACGATGTCCACAGGCTTTTGGTCTTAACATCGAGACGAGTTTGAAACCAGTGACGGAGTTTTTCATGCAAAAAGGATACCATATGGCTGATGTGGCGGTAATGGCTTCCAGATACGGGGCTCTATATACATTTAGCGTGGCGGAGAACTTGGTTCCGAAATGGGAATACTTCCTGACGATGGGTTATCCGAAAAGCGAGCTGGTGAAGTTTCCTCAGTATTTTGGGTACAGTTTGGAGGAGAGGATCAAACGTCGGCATGAAATTGTGAAAGAGAGTGGGGTGAGGTTGCTTTTAAACCAGGTGCTATCTCTTTCGGATGAAGACTTTGACAGGGTTCTAAAGCGAAAAGTGAAGAAAAAGAACGCGTGTGCCTGAGACTGAGAGGGTTTATTTGGACAGAATGAATTGAATATTTAATTAAAGCCGATGAAGGGGTGTAGCTATTCTGTTTCTGTGATATATATATATCTGATTTTGGAAGGGGCCAAATACTTTTGAGTTTTGTGATCAATTGTATTTGAAGTGTTACTTAATTTAAAGGTAATGTTTTTGAGGAGTAAATTTGGTTTATCAAAATTGACTTTGTTAAACTAAATGATTTTGTACATATTTTTTTTTTTTTATATTTATAGTATATCATATTTGAATTGTGTCCCTCTTGTTATGTTATATATGAAATTTAATTGATGTAACAGGAAAATTACGCATATGAATATTGTTTAAATATTTATTATAATAACTATATCGTAAATATATATTGTTCAATATTTTGATTTATAATATATTTTTGTTGTTGTTTCATTTTAGAAAACCCCACAATAGCATAGCATAGCATAGCTTAGCTGGGCTCAATCTTGATATCAAAACACAACCTATTAAATAAATTAATGAGTATATCAATCTTTAATACAACCTATAAAATATAAATCAAAATAAATTTATTCTAAAAAGAGGATGGAGTTGTAATTACTTGTGTTGGGTAATCTATATCTATATTATATTATATATTTGTATAATGAATAAGAAGATAAACCAAAAAGTCCTTTCTTTTATATTTCACACAAACTTAAATAATTACAACTTAATCTAACATCTTTTAATATCTTAACAACTCAATTATTGTTTAAATTTACGAATTTCATAAAATATTAAAAATTTATTTTATTATTGTTTATATGATTATTTAGAACAAATTATTTAAAACAAGATAGTTTTTTTTTTCCTTTTAAAACGAAAAAAATAGGAGAGAAAATGCAAAAATCTGTAAAGAAAAAATACCCAAAAATAATCACCATAAGAGAAAACGTTTTTATTTTTATTTTTATTTATTCCATCAATAATTTTTTTTAAAATTAAATGTTTAGATTAGAATATATAAAATATTTTAATAATATAACGAGAATTATAGTTTTTAAAATGAAAAAGTTTCTTAGAGTACAAGTTTTAGATTTTGATTATTCATTTTTTCTCATAAATTGTATATTCATTAAAAAGTAAAATATATATATATATATATATATATCCAAATAAAATATAATACATACATTTTAATAATACTAGCTAGCAATATGTTACGTAATCTTTTTTATTTTATGTCATTTAAAAAAAAAACATTATTTATAAATATGTTTTTGATGTGAACCAGAATTAGAATCTTGTCTCCTACGCTCAAAGCCTCGACCGTTTTCTTCTTCCCTCTCCATTTCTAAACCTCACTCTCCTGCCCTGTTTTTTCAATTCCACACAAACCATCATATCTAACCATAAATTTCATTCGACTCCTTGTATACATGTGTATATACAGACATACAAGGGCTTTTCATCCTATTTAATCAAGTTAAAATGGGGATGATTTACAGACACTTGCTGATGGGGAATAAGAAGGGTGATTTGGGGCCTGTTTGGATGGCTGCCCACTTTCCGAAACGTCTCAGAAAAGACCTTGTTCAACAGACTAACATCACTTCTTCTGTTGGTTGGTTCTTCGTTGATTTGTTTCTTTTTTCTGCCTCGTTTTCACATTCCTTCAACTTGCAGGAACTATTGTAGCATCCTCTGTCTTAATTCTTCCAATTGAATCTCTTCCTTGAAACCAAATTGGGGTTTATTTATTTTACTAGTTTTTATTTTTTGTTCGTTTATGTTTCACGTCGGCAAATGCCGTTGCTCGTCTCTAGGAAGAGTTGTATACGATTGGGAGTTATCTAAAGGCGATGGAGACGTAAATGCGGTGTTTCTAGTATTTGTTGGGTTCGATTCATGGTTTGATACGCATACAGTTTCTATAATTTCTGGAAAATGTGATTATTTTGACCCTTCAAATAATTTTTTCATCCAAAACGTGTGTATTTGAAACCTAGGTTTTTCCCCCTTCTGGTTAGAGGATGAAAGGAGGTTTTATATAGCCTACTATGTTTTGTTCGTTACTTGTGATGGTTGTTTGGCTGTTGACTGGACAAATCATGTGGGTTCCATTGTTTGCTTTCAAAGTCGCCATCACATATCATAAATTTCTCACAAATAACTCATTAATTACATAAAGGGAAGAAACAGCTATGCAAATTGAGGGCCGTTGAAATCTTGCATGAAATAGTTGTATCAGAACTTGCAAGTTTGGTGAATCCTGCCGAAAATTTGTGCATTATCTGTTGAACCCTCTACCCCCTAAAATAACCTTTTGCTTTCCCCTTATAGAAACGAGTTTACTCTTCTGAGCAACATATAGAAAAAAGAAATGATAAGTGATATCTAAAAAACCAGGATAATGTTTGGTTTGTGTTGCTAGTCATTTATAAATGAATTTCCTAAAAGAATCTACTGTTGAACTTGAAGTTCAGTATACACATTACTAGGGATTCACACGCTGATATCCTGGACCCTGCATTAGGTAGTTTATCGATTTACATGGTTGATAAGAAGTATCTCCATTAAACTTCAAGTTTCTTCATGGTATTATGTTACTTCTGAATTGATTCGTACTATTGTTTCTTGTATATTAATCTTTTTGACATGCTTTTTCTTTTGTGTTGTGTTTGATTCAGATAGAATATTGGTAGACCAACTTCCTGTTGTAACGTATAGAATATTAGGCTTTCTTCTACTAGGAGTGACAAGGATATACTCGAAAAAAGTCGAGTATTTGCTTCATGACTGCAATAATAGCCTTAATGAAATGAAAATTCATCTCGAGGGAAGGACAAAAGTTAATAAAGATGTTGGGGGTATGTGCACACCAGAATCTTCAAGCAAGAGATCTAAGCATAGCGTAGTAGACATGCCTGTATCCAAATCTTCTGGTATAAAGAGATGCAATGTCTTTGTTGAGGCTATGAATGCACAATTATCTTCAATCAGCCTGCCAGAAAATTTTGAACTAGATGCATTTGATCTGGAAGTTGTGGAAGATGATAACAGCGAGTGAGTTACATACTTGCATTTATATAATTTGGTCAATCTTGTTATGGTGGTTTTACATTCTTATCATGTTTTCTGTGTTATTTTCTTTCATATTGCAGGGACCATGTGAAATCCCGTTTGGAGATCGTGCTTAATGGTAATCTTTTAGGTTTATTTCTTTTTATTGAATAATCTACATGATCCCTTAATTTAATAGTATGTTTCTTCTCATACAGAAGATGCATGGGAAAATGACCGGACTGGGGGTCAAACATTTGGCAAGGTACATCAAGTTTTCTCCCAGAAAATGTAAATTTTGTATATCAGTGTTTATTTGTTAAGTCATTTTAGTTTCACTGAAGTTGAATGTGATATTTTGATTTTTCAGGACTGGTGGGATGTTTCTTCCAGTTTCACAGGCCATGCTTCTGCTTATGCTACGACTACAAAGTATGTTATTATTGATCGTGTGAGAAGGAGAGTTAAAATTAGAAGCGTAAGAAGGGATCTGGACCCTTGATCACTTTTAATCTCTTGCCCACCCATGAATTGTGCTTCTCACAGGAATTGATCTGGTGCATCTCATTCTAATGTGCATCCAAGGGTGGAGATCCCTTCTTACGATTCTCATCTTAACTCTCCTCACCGAAATGCAACCCTATATATATACGTACATATACCTATATATACATATACATATATACATATACCTATATATACATATACATATATATATACCTATATATACATATACATATATACATATACATATATACATATACATATATACATATACCTATATATACATATACATATATACATATACATATACCTATATATACATAAACCTATAATCAGGTTCAGTAGGAAAACCGCAAAAAAATGTTAAATTGAGGAACACCTTGATAAACGTCTATCTGAACGGTGTGCACATGTGTATACAAGTAATTTGGAAACAATTTGTCCGGTACGCCCATGTGCATGCGCATGTGCATAAAAACTAAGAAATAACTTTAATTACTTGTATGCACATGTGCATACTGTCCAGATGAATGGTTGCCAGGGTGTTACTTAGTTTTTCATTTTTTGGGGGGTTTTCTCTTGAACCTCCCTCTCTCTCTCTCTCTCTCTCTATATATATATATATATATATATATATACATATGCAAACACTCAAGTCTTTTGTTCTATCCTTGCTTCAGCACTAACCCAAGTAACGCGGAAACAAGTGCTGAGAAACTACGCCATAGATTCTCCCTGGATGAGAGCTTGGATCCCATGGTACTTGATGAGACTGATGAAGAACTACAACTCACTGAAATACCCACTATTCAACAAGATCCAGAATCGAAGAACACAAAATTTTCGGATGATTTCATGATATTTGAGGATAGTGAACATCTAGCCAAGGAGGATTGTAGAAACAAGAAGTATCCTGATGAAGATTGTACAACTGGGGAGACAATGATTTCAGAAATGACATTGGTTGGTAACATGACGCTTAAACCTAGTCCAGAAAAACGTCAATTATCAGTTAGCATTGATGTAACACCTCAGTCGAAGGCTCCAGCTGTCTCAGGTAACGTCTGAAGCTTCTGTTGATTAACCTATCGTCATTGATTAGATTTCCATTTATGAACTGGTCCTTGAATGCAGGTGAACATAAATCAGATTTTGTGGCTATCCGTACCCCAGCTTCCAAAGAGCATGCTTGGCCCCCTAGGAAGCGCAGACTTGTTTATGATGATACGATTGTGGTTCCCAACAAGTGAGTGATGTCACCCTTTTTGTCCTAGTGTGTATGCAAGTGTGTATATATACGTACATGCATGTTGAGCGCAAAATCATTTGAATGGTGCTTTGTTTATTGTTTTCTTTCTATATTCGTTGAAATTAGTTCTCTTGGATGAAAAATAAAAGATTGGTTCTTTGTCCTTGATTGTTGGGGCCGCCCCTTTCCTGGACCCGCAACATGAAATGGTTCTTGAAAATGCCTTAATCTGGGAGCTGAAAAGATCGGTTCTTTGCCCTCAATGGTTCTTGAAAATACCCTAATCTGGAAGCTGATACTCCAAAAGCTCGAAATCATCTTCTCTTCATTATGGCAGGGTATTTAAAAACTGGCTTGCGGATGCAGGCGATCTGGTGGGGAAAAGAAGGAAAGCTTCATATCCACTTCTTACACGGAAAGAATGTCGTTCCTTTGATTTTGTTCTGGAGCCTATAATTCCCAGTAAGCTTTGTCTCTTCTCTAGTTAATTTGATGTTCCCTTGAATATTTGAAGTTCCAATGCAATGTCCTTATGCTGCTTTGAAGGCGCTTCGAAGAGGGTACCAACAGGTTTTGAATTTCTAGTAGTTGTTTCTGGTTATTTGGTTAATTAATTATCATTTAATAAGCTTTGTTTCTTTTCTACTAAATTTGACTAGTAATCTTTTCCCTTCCCCCAGTCAATGCAGAATTTCCGTCAGATCTTACATCTGTCATTTCTACAAACAAGGTGTTGGTGCTAGAAAAAGTTGAAGATACAATGGAACGAGATTCAAAACTTGATGAATTAGGATCCCTTAATACGCCTAAAACTTCTGAGCAAAAAGAAACTGAAGCAATTGCTCCTTCAACGCCCGTAACCCATTCAACATCATTGAGATTTAACGAGACAAATTCATCGAGGAGCGGAGAAAAAGAGCTCTTCCCAATTGAGGATGTAGAATTGGATGAAATTCAAATGAAAAAGGTAATCTGCTAGTTTTCTTTGAATACATACAGCCAAAACCATCTATCTCAAGATCATAAGAATGTAGAATTTGATATTGGTTCTTAAGCGATTCTGATATATTTATTGTTTGTAAATCATGGCCAGGGGCCAAGCTTGTTAGGGGGAGGAAATCAAGAAAATGGTAAGCAACTTTCTTTTGTTTTCCATCTTCTACTTTTGGAAACTTTCTTTCTTTAGAAATCTGATATAATCATGTTATATTTTTCTGTTACTGTAGAAAAATGGTCGGCTGTAACCAAGTGAGTGTTTTTTTGCATTCTTTTATAGTTGGGGTCTGTTTTTGAAAGGTCTGTAAGATGTAGGTTTCTATGATATGTATGCAGAAGTGTGGGGAGTTATCTGCATAGTAACTTGGTACAGAGAGAAGAAAGAGGAGAAGAGGAAGTTATAAACTTGTCACAAATTCTGAAACATAAAACCAAGAAAGAAAGTGCAAGGTTCTTCTCTGAGATGTTGGTAAGCAGTATGAAGGTTTTGAATCGATGGTGGTGGTGGTGTGCTTATATTAAATCTTTGTGTTTTAAAAATGATGCAGATTCTGAAAACGGGAGGTTACATCGATGTGAAACAAGGAAAGGCGTATGATGATATCCGTGTGATGCAAACTTCAAAGTTGAAGGAAGTATTTGGAAAGGGGAGGTGAAGGACAACGAGCGGGTGGACGGTGATGTTGTTTGTACAAAAGAAAGTAAAGATCATATGTATGTATGTATGTATGTATGCGGTAGAAAGAAAGATGGAAAGAAAGAAAGAAATAGGTAGTTGTTGATTAGATTCTGTAGCTTTTCAATTTCAGCCATGGGATATATGTTTATGAAGGTTTTTTTCTTGTGAAATTGGCTCCAACAGAAGATCATTCTTCAAAATCGAAAAAAGGAGACCCAAACAAAATTTTCCATATCTTCAAATTTTATTTTAGAGTTGAGAGAATGTATTGTGCTGCTTATTAAAATATCCAATAAAATTCATAAAAATAGTGTGTTATTTTTGGGAAGGTTCTTTTTTTATATATATATTTAGAGAATTTCACTCTATTTTTTTTCATTTTAAAGAATCTGTTAGCATAAATATCCTTTTTAAAGAATCTTTTAGGAGATATCTTTTATGTTTGGTTGGTTTTTTGTTAAGTTCTGATAAATTAATCTGTCTATATAATTTGAAAAAGTTTTTGTTTCCGAAATAGAAGTAGTATGTTATTTAATTTGGAAGAACAAGTTTGGAAAAAAGCATGACTTTCTACATAAAACTCTTACCAAACGAATCATTTTCTATATTATTAAACTGCTACTAAACAATCGTATGTATAATAAGCAGAGCCTGTTAACAAAATTCTCTATCTTAAAAAGGCAATTTTCATATATTGGGTTTGTAGTTTGTAGTTTGTAGTTTTGTACCATGTCTTATGCATTGGGTTGGCCCATTTACAAATTAAACGGAAATTGATCTCCTAGTGGACTGGAGAGTGGGAGCCTGGGAGGGAGGGGAGGGGCAAAGTTATTCAGGCGAAGCGTACTCGTTCGTTCGTTGAGGGGCAAAGGGTCTGAAATCCCTAGGGTTTTGGAGGGATTTACGTTGGATTTCTCTCATCTTTCCTTTTTCTATCAGCAAATGTCGGTCGCATCTCAGTCTTTCAATGGAAACCTCAAGGTATACTTCTCTCATTTACGTTAAAAATCTATCTGGTTTGAATATAAGTTGTATGTGAGGCTCAATACTTAATTTTACTGCGAGTACACTGTAACACACAACCTTTTTCCATGTCTGGCGTTGATATCGATGGATTAATGCTTAATAGCATGTCGAAATCGAATTTCTATTGCCTACTGATCATCTGCCTGTAGTATAGATTAATTTGAAGATTTTCTCACTTCTAAGTCATAATCTGTAGTATTAATTAATTTTGCGTATTTACTCAATTCTAAGTAATGAACAAGTTAATTCGTTGCTCTGGAGGTGTTGATTATCATCCATGTACAGGATGTCATCGGTTCCTAGAGTTCAAGGTTTGAAGTTATAGTTGCAAACTGTTAGGCAACATAGTCGTGTACAACATTTACCTATTAGTTGCAGTTCTTTTGGCTCATACAACATATTAATCAAAACATTAATCAAATTATAGCTGAGTTACAAAGTTCCAATATCGTTTTTTGAGATCCATGACTCATGACTTATTGAGGATATTCAAGAATCTCTGTTCTTAAGCTTTCTTGGTTGCTAAACCTGTAAACCAGATCAAACCAAACAAGCCTAGTATATCTCACTCGAGGTGGAGTCTGGGAGGCATGCATACCTGACCCCTATCTGGGAGAGTAGAATGGTTGTTTCCGTAAAGACTTCCGGCTTGCAAAAAGAAAGCTAGCCTGAAAAGGCTGAAGAAACAGAAAACAATAGAGAAATGAAAGAAAAAAAAAACTAAGATGTTTAGACTATGTTATGTGTAAACCCACATTTCTCAGTTGATTCTTAATTTTTTATAATGAGAACCATGCTACAACTTCATTCAGATTAGCTGTTTGAAAGGGAAAGTAAGTTATGGGAAACTTCTGTTTTAACATAAATGAATCATTTTGGTCTGTTGTGCCTAGTTTGTTGTTTCGTTGAACTGGGAGTTTGAGCCCTTGACAGTTTTCGGTAAGACTATAAAACTGAAAACTTCTCAATCTTGTTGCAGAAAGCAGTTGCTGGCTTAAGACGTATCAATTTGGACGGACTGAGATGGAGAGTCTTTGATGCCAAAGGCCAGGTATGGTAACCCTTCCGCCCCAATAAAAAACCACACAGACACAAAAAAAGGGTTTGGTCAAGTAGTATAAAGGTTCCATTGTTTATGTGAAGTGTACAACCTTCCATGCATGCCAATCACTTCAATGAATTATCTTGTGCAATCATGTACTCCCTTCATCACCATGAGATACCAAGTTTTCTATGGATACGGAAAAGTTTAATCGTGCATAAAATTTCTAAAATACCATCATTTGGCTTTCAAATAACTTTTGTGATGCGTTCATGTTATGTTGAGTTGAGTGAGGGATAAACCGAGTGAAAGATGAAGATATGTAAGAAAGTTCGGTGCCAATAATGAATTTCCAAGTATACTTTTGCCATGGGTTTTCAGATCCCTTCCACTAATAGCAACACACTTTTTAATTTAGACCCCCTACAAAGTAATACCTACAATTTTGTGGATGATGGGAGTAAAATCTCTGTGCCCCCAATATTACTCTATGGTGTCATGTTGGATTTTGAAACTTTCGGTTCTTGTGGTGGCACTGCAGCTGGATAGGTTAGGGAAGAAGTATAATTTTTCTTGAAAGAAGGACAAATAGTACATCTATGGTTTCTTAAAACGGTGGTGTCTTAAATAGGAATCAAGGCTTGCCTGACTAGTGACCAGGCTAGATGTTATAATCACCATCTCATTGCTTGTGCCAAGAAATTATGGAAAGTAATAGCACTTAAACATTTACGCAGGTCCTAGGGCGATTAGCATCACAAATATCAACAGTGGTTCAAGGCAAAGATAAGCCTATATATGCCCCTAATCGTGATGATGGCGACATGTGCATTGTGCTTAATGCTAAAGACATCTGTGTCACTGGGAGAAAACTTACTGATAAATATTACCGATGGCACACTGGGTGAGTATCATGTTGTCTGCATTACTCCTGAGTCCTGAGAATCATCAGCACTGTTAGTGAATACCTCAAACCTGGCATGCTTGTCAATTTCCCCTGGTGTTGTGTTCCAAAGCTTAGAAGCAACAAGAAACTATAAATATTCATTTATGTTAATTTTTCTTCACTCCCCATGATTATGCCATGTATCTGAAGATCTCTATGTCATGTATAATTGGTATACAGGTATATTGGCCACCTCAAGGAAAGGAGTTTAAAGGACCAGATGGCGAAGGATCCTACAGAAGTCATTCGGAAAGCTGTCCTTCGCATGCTCCCAAGAAATAAACTGCGTGATGTGAGTCTATAGCAATTTTTATTCTTTTTAGGTAAAATTTCGTTCTGGTTTATGACATATGGGAATAGATCTCTTATATACTATATTTATGTCTTCTAGGAGTCGACCATAAGACTTTTTGTGCATAACATCTAGAAATTCGTCTCAGGAGTGTGGAAGAGAGCGGACCTGCTCTCTCTTACAATAGAAAAAAGCATGGAGAGTCCTAATTTCTGTAATATCTTCCTAGTGATGCTAGTTGAAGTACAAAAATTAGGACTGTCCATGCTTTTTTCTATATTTCAGAAGCTTATTCACCTAAGTAACCCCATTAATAGGTATGAATTTGCCTCTGTATTAAATAAAGCAATGGCAAATTTATACTAGTGATACAAACTTCAGTTCATTACTGTGGCTGCCTGTTTTGATCTAAGATTTCCTGTGCTTCTTCTTGCTTATTTCTGGTATCAAAACCTCTGACATGTAACTGGAGCTCAATTCTGGTTATCGGCTTTAACTCTATGATTTAGCTCCGCAGAGAGCTACTTCATCTATTAAAACCACAAGCCATCATCATATATCTTTTTCAAATCTCGTTGGTTTTGATCCTCTCTTTCCTCTGGTACCTTGGAACTTAATATATAGTTTCGTGATCACATGCTTTATGGAAACCGTTTCTGAGTTTGAATACCAAAGTTCCCATATGATAACTCTACACAACTTGATAATGGATGTAAACCTTTCGGGTAGTTAGTTAGGGTAGTTAGTTAGCTTTCAAAAGGTCTCATCATTTCCAGGATAGTAAAAAGGTAGAAACAGTTAACATGGTGGTGCTGGAACCTGTCAAATACTTAGCATGTGACATATAGTAAGCTAACCAAAGCACAAAGTAAGCAGTTTGATTTGTTAAAGGTAAATATGAAGAGAATTATTAACAAAACCTTGTTGGTTTTTCCAGTTTTTACTTCATCTAACTTGATTTTCTATATGGGTAGATGAGAGATCTGCGCACATCTTGGATGACATCAACCCCATGTGGGATAGTGGGGATCATTTGGTTTTCGGTTATTGTGTTTTTGAGAACATTGCTGATCACTTTAGGTCTCTTAGGTTCTGTTTGTTAGCAGTTTAAAAGGCTTATGGGACTAAGAGCTTATTTGGTCTGTTATACACGAATGTTTGGTTGGCGTAATGATATAGAAAGTGGCTTATTCGGTAAGCTTCTAGATGGGGGCTTTATGTAGAAAGCTAAGTTTTTTCCAAACATACCCCTCCCAATTAAAAAACACACCCCTTTCATCTATGAAGAACCCCTCCCAAACAAAAACCTTCGCCATCTATACAGACAGATTCATACATATGCAACTTTATCCAATACAGGACTTAATGAAAAAACCAACCAAACAACCCCTTTGCATCATTGCCAATAGGTTTTGTTTTGCTCTTCTTTAATGCCATTCATATTACTTGTGTATAAAGTCAAGATCAGTCATCAAGAGCTTATTCATCCACACAGGACAGAGATCGTAAGCTGAGAATATTCTCGGGCAGCAAGCATCCGTTTGGCGACAGGCCCCTTGAACCATACGTGATGCCACCTCGACAAGTTCGTGAACTGCGCCCACGTGCAAGACGAGCCATGGTTCGAGCACAAAAGAAGGCTGAGCAACAAGAAGAAGGTGGTAATAAGATTAGCAAAGGTAAAAAGAGAGAGGAAATCTCAGAACGGTGCGTCTGAATTCTGGACCCATTATCCTACTTTGGACAGCCAATCAAATTCAGGCTCTTTTGAAGGTTCCATTAATGTGACCAGCTTCTCTTTTTTCTTGGTATGGAGTATTGAATAATTTAACATTTGAGGAGAGGCAGTTTGCAGTACTCTTGGTAGAGAGAAATTAGAAGGAGTTTCTTTATTATAAAATGTATTGAGATATTAATTTGGTTAAAGATTTTAAGAAAATTGTTAAAGAAATTATAAAATGCATTTGGGAGTTCGTTGCAATTTCTTTTGGCAAAAGTTAAGGGATGCAAAAGTTGTTGCGACTACGTTTGTATCGTCCTTATCAATAAACAGATTTCTATTAAATAATACAATTAACTCCAATGCATTTATATTATCTTTGTTTGTAAAACATTTATATTACTATATATATATATATATAAGATTATTATCTTTAAAACGATAATAATCTTATATATGTAAATCATTTTTGTATAAATACATACAATTATAATCCATTGTAATTTGAAAAACCGTTCAAAAGAGCCATTTTCACCTTCCAATTCATTTTATGTGCTACATAATTGACCGAAATAATAAAGATTTTGCAAATAACACTTTGCTAAAGATAGCATTCATAAATTAATAATTTTGTAAGTCATTAATGTCTGTATTTTGATAGAAAAAATGTCTGATTCCTCCGTTTATATTTTATTACTAAAATGATTTATTAGATGTTGTAATAAAATGGTACATGACATTAATAATAGACTCCTAATGATTTGAGTAGGAAGTTGAAGGAGCGAATGTGTAAATTGATCACAATCAGACGTTACATTTTCCATTTCCCATTTCCCATTTCCCTCCAATCCAATCGGAAACCATCATCATCATCTTCTTCTTCCCCTTAGGAGGAGTTAGGCCTTATCCCCCTCCTCACAAGTCACACCTAACTCAAAATATCGCAAATTCACTCCGTCACCATCCAAAAATCTTCAATTCTTACCCTACAGTTTGCTCCATCTCATAAACCCTAACCCTATTTCTCATTTAAATGAACCAGCATCAATAACTTCACCATGGACGTCGCTTATCTTCACCACACCAAATGCATATTCAATCCAGCTTACTCTTCCACTCATTATCGCCCTATTTCTGTTCTTTCTAGGGTATCGCTTTTTAATTCAAGAGATGACAAGAATAATGTTCGTCGTTCTCTTCGTCGGGCCTCCAGCTCCGATACACTTGTCTCCGGGAAGACCTCTCTTACGGTTGCCAGCAAGAAAGATTCAGAGTTTGAGGAGGAGGAAGATTTGAAATCTTGGATGCATAAGAATGGCTTACCTCCTTGTAAGGTGGTTATCAAAGAGAGGAAAGCGTACGATTCACGACATCCTTCTATTCATTACGTCGCCGCAAGCGAGGACTTGCAGGTTGGTGCATTTGTTTTGGATTTTTGTTCCTTTGAATCAATAGATGTGAAATTTATTTCATGATATATTTTATCGCTGTCTTTACTGTAGGCAGGTGATACTGTATTTTCTGTTCCGAATTCGCTGGTTGTAACACTCGAGAGAGTTTTGGGGAACGAAACTATCGGTAAGATGCTGTTCGATTCTACAAACTTTTCTTTATTAGATATTTAGATGTGCGTATGATTGGCATTGTTAATTGATGCACTCAACTGAGAAGATATGGCACAAACACGATTATATGCCTCGTTATAAATTTGTGTTACCTGTAGAACAGACTGCATAATTTGATTTTGCTCAACCATCTTTTGTTTTACATCTAGGATAACAGTCGGATTAACAAAATAAGGTAAAGTAGCTCTGAGTGTATTCACCTTATAGTTGGTGGGAATCTCTAAGCAGTTTTGATATATATATATATATATAATGTTATGAAGCTTCGACTAGATCCAATCAAAGGAAAAAAATGGTTACACAACTCCAAATTTAGGTGTGGAATTCTTAAGCAACCGGGGGTTGAAGGCCATGAGGATTAACATCCTTCTGTTTGATAGGTCATAATTATGAATACTTCCTTATCTTATATTCTTATTGCAGCGGAACTGTTAACTACAAACAAATTATCAGAGTTAGCTTGCCTGGCATTGTATCTAATGTATGAGAAAAAACAAGGAAAAGAGTCTGTCTGGTACCCATATATAAAAGAGCTTGATCGGCAGCGTGGTAGGGGGCAGCTAGCTGTGGAATCACCACTCTTGTGGTCTGAATCTGAGTTGAATTATCTGACAGGCAGTCCAGTAAAGGTATCTGTTCCCATTCTAACTTTAACTTAAAAAGAAACCTGGCACACAAAAGGTCTATGACTTCCACCAGTTCAGTAAACATCCCTATGTTAACATCTCAGGCTGAAGTTCTTGAAAGAGCAGAAGGCATCAGAAAAGAGTATAATGAGCTTGACACTGTCTGGTTTATGGCTGGATCCTTGTTTCAGGTGTTTTTTCCTTCTTCATTTTAGTGATTTGCATTGTATCAGAATTTTAGCTATTTACTTTGCTCCACAAGTTCACTTGGAATGATTGTAGTTTTCTTTCTGCTGATCCCAATTCTTCACATGGCTGATTGCTATAGTTTTTCTTTTTCCTTTCTTCCTTGTGCAGCAATATCCATTTGATATCCCTACGGAGGCCTTTTCGTTTGAGATCTTTAAGCAAGCTTTTGTTGCAGTTCAATCTTGTGTCGTGCATTTGCAGGTTTGCCCTATCATCTGATAACACTTTGTTGCCATTAGGTACTTGTAATGAGGTCTTTACTTTTTAAAATCTCTAACCTTCTAGTATTGAATGTGGACTGGTCGCTTCTTATTGCCACCGCATGTAAGTTTGTATGACCACTTTCGGGGTGTATAAATGATAGCTATATAAGAAGTAAGGATCCCCTCAAGTTTTCTTATGGAGGTGAACTGCTCTGGATAAAAATAATCTATTCAAACTTCTAAACACACGATTGTTGAATTCTCAACCCTATCTAGAATTTGAATATTCATAACTTATCACCCTTTAAGCACAAGTGTATCATGCCAGATTTCTATCTACTTTCCTTCTTTTACAGTTCTATTCTCTATACCCCTACCGCTTATTAATTTGCAAATCTCTCAAAAATTCAGAAAGTCAGTTTGGCACGAAGGTTTGCATTGGTTCCTCTTGGACCTCCTCTCTTGACCTATAGGAGCAACTGCAAGGCAATGTTAACAGCTGTAGATGGAGCTGTCCAATTGGTTGTTGATCGGCCATACATAGCCGGACAATCGATTGTAGTATGGTATGGCGTCTGCTTCCTTTTGGACTAAATCGCAAGGTGTAACTTCAGGATGCTATTTCATGATTGTTGATGTAGACATCATTGTTATAATCATCATTTCTATGTTAATATAACATCTTTTTAATCATTTGAAGCATCATTCCCTCCCCTCTTTGTAAGTATCTACTTTGAACGTGTACATATACAAATCAGATCTCAAACTATTACTCTCTTTGTACTGGGACTTTTCACAGTGGGAGAGAGATGTTTTAGTCCTGTGTGTATTTTTTAAAGGTTCGATCTTGCCAAGAAAACATCAAGATGGGCACACAGCATATTTATATTAGCATTGTCTGGCATACTCATGTATGCTCTATAGTCTATATAGAACATTAGAGTTTACCTGTGAAGAAAAAAAGGCAGTTTTTAAAGCGCTCACTTACTTAACATTAAGGCACACTGTTGATCTTTGTCATGCAAATATCTTGTAGGTGTGGACCACAACCTAATTCAAAATTACTCATCAATTATGGTTTTGTTGACGAAGATAACTCTTATGACCGCTTGGTGGTCGAGGTGAACTTTAAACTTCTCATATCTTCATGCAATTTTTACTATTATGTCAAGAATCTTTGCTTCTGCTTGTACTTCCTCTTACGTCTTTCACTTCCAGGCAGCATTGAATACAGAGGATCCTCAATATCAGGACAAGAGATTGGTTGCTCAACGAAATGGAAAATTGACCATACAAACTTTCCAGGCATAAATCATTCTTAGTTTCAATTTCTGATTGAATTTATGTTATTTTCACTTTATTATTGAACATATGTTGGTTTTTTGTAATTAGGTTAACGTGGGAAAGGAAAGAGAAACCGTTCTAGATATGCTTCCATATATGAGACTAGGTTATGTTTCAGATCCTTCGGAGATGCAGTCTGTGTTATCTTCTCAAGGTCCAGTATGCCCGGTAGGTCTATGTGGTGAACATATTGTGAATTCCAGGTTACAACTTCATTATATTTATCATTTTTCATGTTACGAGGGTATTACAGGTGAGTTCTTGTATGGAACATGCAGTTTTAGACCAACTGGCTACGTATTTCAGAGAAAGACTGTCAGGTTACCCTACTACTCTAAGTGAAGATGAAGCGATGGTAATGTTCCTGTTTTCTTTCAGTTTTAGATATCCCTACCCTACCTCTAGATTCTAATGATGTGGGTTTGGGAAAATTCAGTTGGCAGATTGTGATATTGATCCCAAGAAACGAGTTGCTACGCAGCTCATCAGGTGCGAGAAGAAAATATTAAGCAGATGCTTGCAGGCGACTGTTGATCTGATAAACCAATTACCAGATGCATCTACATCGCCATGCCCAGTTCCTTATGCTCCGCTACTAAGATAATCCAATCTATGCCTTTTTATCATGTCTTGATGAATCAGGTGAGCTTCAGATTCTACCTATATTTTCCACACTTTTGATGATCCTTGCAGCAAGACAAATATACAAGTTGCGTATTGCTGCTTATGTTTGCATTTGGTGGTTTTTTTTCCTTCCATTTCTTGTGTTACTCCTGATCATAAATCCCCTGGTCCTCGTATTCTATTTTGAAGCCACCTATCTGCTGATACGAATATTGTATTGATTTGTTGTATAAGCAAGAAACTTTAGTGTTGTACAGCCCATTGACCATGTCAAATACATGTTCTGTGTGGTTTTTGGACCAAAAGTGTTGCTGATAAAACTTGAATCTAATTGTTCATTTACAACTTACTAGTCAAAATGGGAACACTTGATCAAATGCAATCTAGTGAAAACAGTATCTTTCACAACTTCAATTTGGTTCTCCATAAGTCGGCTACCACTTTTCTTGGTTGCGGATTATCTGGTCCCCTGTCTCGCTGACCGGATGTGATATACAACCATCCATCCCAGTAAGCTGCTTGTGTCGTTTTAACACGATAAGGAAGCTTCCCGATCACATGCCATTTCTGGGTATATTATTTTTATCCTAGTATAAGATGATGTTGGAAACAACATAGATAAACAATAAGATACTTGATTATACATACCTTGGAGTGAAGATCAAATCTAAACAACTCTCCAACCAATATCATTCGTTTTGTGACAGGATTCTTCTCCGTTGTGCCTCCCGCGATCACGATGGAATTGTTAACAACTACCCATGAAGATTCTATATGTGAATCCGGCTTCGGCATCGGTGCCAATGTATGCCACTTCATCTTGTCATCCAACATGTAGACATCGCTATAAACTACCTGCAAGTTTAAACCAACATTGCGACTTATGCTATCACATGAATCCTTCATACTTGTTTTTATTATACTAGATCTAGTTTTAAAAAAAATCCACCGACCTCGTGCCTACGCGAACACTTGAAGATAGGTGACCCTGGTTTCGGCATGAAGTCACCCTCTTGACCACCAATAACGTACAACCGATCACCCACAGCAACACAAGCTCTGTCCACACATAACAAAAAACAGCAGTATGGATTTAGATAACTTGTTGTTTGTTTTTGTGGTCTGAACGATGAAAATGACAATTTTACCCGTCGGTCGAGTCAGTTTACCTGTGTGGACCTCCACGAGGAATTGGCACTTCTTTCCTCCATGTTTTCTCTAAAGGTTTGCCGTTGGCCACTGCAATACTCCAGTGATCGGTACTGGGTGTATGACGATTCTCTTTGCCACCCCCCATCACATGAAGTCTTCCCCTCCAAAATTGCGTTGCCGGGGCGTACCTGGAATCCAGAATGGTGAAACAAGTTGAAATGAACAAGGGATGGTGATGATTGCATGGCATACCTTGGTTCTGGTAACGGGGGAAAGGAATCCCAGTTTCTTGTTTGAGTGTCCAAGACAAATGTTTGGGAGATGGGAGGAGTTCGACATTGGGGACCCTTTTGGCCTGAGACAACATATATATATCTGCCATCACTTGCTGTTCCTAAATGAGAATTAGCCATTTCTTTTGGTGTAGCAAAGCTTTGTTCCCATTTGTTGCTTGTAATGTTGTACACATCAACATGGGAATGTACCTAAAAATAAAGTATGCAGTTTCCAATACCTAAGAAAAGAAAAGGAAAGGAAAGGAAAGGAAAGCAGTTGATAGCAGATATAAAAGTAAAGAAGGAGGTTATACATGGTCAAGGTTTCTATAGCCCGAAAACACAAAAAAGAGTTGATTGATCTGTATTGAGGCACCGTCAAGACGGGGCACAGGTGCGGGCGCCATCTCTTCCCATTGGATTAGGGGTGCAGCTAAATCAGCAAATGTGCCTGATAGTAGCCTCGTACCATTCTCATCTGCAAATATGAGTTTTAATTATGAGTGTTGAAAATTATAGGAAGGGAATGAGGTTACCTTTGGTTAGGGTTAGAAGATGATTAGAATGGATTGCTGAAGATGAAGCCCATAAGTAGTCGAAAATGAGAGCGGCAGCAGCAACAAGAGTAAGGAATAAGAAGAGGATGGTTGATTTTGTGGAAATCTGTTTGCGCACCATTTTTATTCTTTTTTTTTTTTTCTCCGAGTCTCATCAGTGATGAGAATAGAATATATAAATAAATAGTGGCGCCAATGGTTTCCCGATTACCGCAGCCAAAGCCAATGTTTATTTTCTATTCCCATGGACCTCGACCTCGAGTTGATAGATTATTACACGTTATTTCAATATGTCTTTACAAATTATTCTACTTTCTTTTAATATGATAACACACAGATTTTTCTTTTCTTTTTGTGTCTAAAATATAAAACTAATAGCTATTTAAAAAAAATATATATATATATATATATAGGAATTGTTTATTTAATTATCTGTGAAATAACAACATTTTAAAAATATAATAGAATAATATTTTTTTCTATTATTATTTGTTCATACACACTATGCATGTATTAAATAAAACAAAAAGATTTAATCGAAGTCCGATAATGCCATCCCCGACCCCACTTCGGGGACGAAAATAAGTGCCCCCTACCTATTAACCGTCAAAGTGCAAAATCCCTGTCCAGTTAGGGTAATTGGCCCAATGGGTATGCTTTTCATCCCTAGTTGGACTTTCTAAAGCAAACTTAATAGATATTTTGATTTATAGATCTGATAGGAATAGTTTAATCATTTTATTTAATATTTGTAGATGGAAGAAGCTCGTTTTTTATTTATTTATTAAGAGAGATAAATAACTTGACTTTCTATGTAAAGGTCTTATTGAATAAATCATTTTTTATATTATTTAATCATTACAAAATAACCATGTATAACTAACCCAACACACCAACACCGTAAAAACACATTTTGTTTAAATGAAACGAAACCATTCCCTAATCCTAATCCCTATGGTTCAATTAGAAGTTAGAAGGTGAAGGCCCAAGTATACACAACCCAAACCGAAAGCTGAAATTGTGGTTATGGATTGGGCATTGTATCAGGCCTTGGCCCATCCAAAGCTCGTCTCTTTCTCTTACAAGCAAAAATCAAATGGTAGACTGGTCGTCGTGCTCGTGCTTGTGGTTGTGGTTGTGGGAAGATCTCCTTCTGTTTGGGCGATTGATTCATTTCTCCATCTCCTTCCTTATCGGATCTCTCTGCGGCAGCTTTACGCCGCCCGTTACGATTACGATTACGATTACTTCTTCCTAACACATCCTGTAAGTGTTTTTGTCATCAACGCTGAATCAATGCCACCAAGTCTCTTATCTATGCGATTGTGATGTGCTAAATGTATTTTATTCCTGTATTCCTTGATTTCTTCTCGAAGCTATCATTTCTTTTGTCTAACACCTGAAATCAGATCTTGAGCTGGTGCTTTAAGTTTTTTTGTTTAATTTTTCAGACCGCTTTATAATCCGTTTAGTAACAATTAGGGCACCTTTTTTTTTTCTTCCAGTTATGTGAAAAATAGCTACCTCCCCTGTTCCAGAAAAAAAGGTATACTTATTTCCTGGACTCTTTAAGTGCAAATTTAACATAAATATTAATATTTGTCGTAATAAAGTTCAATATGATCGAATGTTTCTGCCATGATTTCGGAATCACGTATCAATTTGTAGTTTACGAATCGAGTCCTATAAGCGTCTCTTTGCATTTAGAACGGGGATGGGTATTACTACTTTTGTGATTTGTTCTCTTGAACTAACGCGTTTGACCTTATAGAAGTTGGGGGTGGACTTGTACCTGATGTGGGCGTTTCTTATAGGACTTAACATTTAATATTATATATGTGTTTCACAGGAAATTGGCTTAAATGGCTGGTGGTAGGGGAATTTACCACTTGCTGAGGAGCAGACTTCATTCTCAAACCACTGTAAGCATTATTCTGTTTTGCATTTTTTTACTGGTTTATTACAAACGCCCTCGTTTTTGCTTTATGTGTCCCTGTGCTTGCTGGTCTTAGTTTGTTCTTAAGAGTCTGATTTCTCTTAGGTATATGAGTGAGTGGAAGTAGTGATAGCAAAAGCAAAGAAGCCATTTCGTAAATATGCTATTCTCCCTAGCAGGCTGTCACCTAAATTGTCAGAATCAAGATAATATGGGATAGGGAATAAGATGGGTTTTTGAATTTGTGCTTAATGGTTACATTTACTTGGCATAAGATTAAAGCAAGAACGTTTTATAGTTGATAGCACTTTCATATTGTATAAACATTGATGATAGGAGTTCAGCATTCACTTTGATCGTGTCAAAATGAGGTAAATGCTCCACATCAGGAAAGGGACTCTAGTGATGAGAGTGAGAGACATATCTGAGAACTGCCAAGAGGAGCTAGATTGTTATTATAAGTTTTGGAAATTAGGTGGGCCAAAATTAAGTTAATGCATGGTGATACACTAACACTCAATTCCCAAAACTTAGTAAGTAGTATGCTGCAATGTGAAAAGTTTGCCACTTTTGTTTCCCTTGAAGTATTTTCTCTTAGAAGCCTGCACTTTTTTTTAATGCAAACAAATTGCTGAAGTTAATGTATCACACGCCCCTTGATGAACCATGGCCTGTGGGTCATTGAAATAAACATAACTGGGTTAGAGATGCTAAAAATCTAAAATATACTTTCTGCATTTATATGTCAGTCGATATTTGTTATTACTACTGAAATTGTGGTGTAGAAGTTGTCTCCTGAATTGTCTTTTTCTCTTTTCTACTAGAAAATTTTCTCCCTCTTTTTGTAACTCTGCAAAGGGTGCACTGGTTGTACGCTATGTAATGATCATTGAGTCCCCAGTTGGCGATTTCAAGCATGCCAAAAAATGCGTTTAACAATGGCTGTGCCCATTTTCGTGTGTCAAGATATGAAAGCATTTTGATTTTAGAAATAATAACTTAAATCAACTATAGCTACTCGTTTGTATGTGTTACATAAAATGTCCACAACTGGTGTGCCATCTAAGTCTGCTGTTATTAGAGCTATTTGTAGATTGGCAGATCCATTGCATGAAATTTTTAATACCATGGAAGACTGCATAGCTTGAATCAACCATGTTATCACTACCTAAACGAAAATAACATATAAAGGTGTCCAAGGGTGACTAAGCAATCATATATGAATCTGGTTACGATACCTTGTCTTGCCTCATCTGCATTTTTTGATCACTGATTACTGCAGTCACTTACAACTTATCAAAAAAAAAATCAGGCACCTCCAGCTTTGTCATCTCTGATTTCAAAGAAAGAACAAGATGCTTCTGGATCTGCTGGCATGAAGTCCCTGAGGGCAATTGCACTCCTTGGAGCAGGTGTTTCAGGGCTGTTGAGCTTTACAACTATAGCAGCTGCTGATGAGGCTGAACATGGTCTAGAGTGTCCCAGCTATCCTTGGCCTCACCAGGGCATTCTCAGTTCATATGACCATGCTTCGTGAGTTTGTTTTGTAACTTTTGTTCCTTTTTTATTTATTTATCATATTGTGTTATGAGTTCTTTCTAATCAATAGTAGTAGTCTGCATATTGAAAACTGAATTTACATTCTAACCTAATCAAGAAATAAGATACAAATGGCTCCTTCCTCATAGATATAGATTATCTTTATAACAGTGTTATTTTGTCAAGCATAAAGAACACCTGTCACACTTTTATCTCAATATTTTTTTGTGGTTCATCCAGTTATAGTTTCCGTATAATCGGGGAGCTCTAATGCTATGGGTCCCCATGGCCCATGGGATGTGTATACTGGTTATTCCTTTCTCTGGGAATTGACCTTTTGCTTTTTGGTCTTTCACCTTGATCAGGATTCGACGTGGTCACCAAGTTTACACTCAAGTATGTGCATCCTGCCATTCAATGGGTTTGATTTCATATCGTGACTTGGTGGGTGTGGCATATACAGAAGAGGAAACAAAAGGTATGGCTGCCGAAATTGAGGTGGTTGATGGTCCTAATGATGAGGGTGAGATGTTTACCCGCCCTGGCAAGCTAAGTGATCGATTTCCTCAACCCTATGCAAATGAGCAAGCGGCTAGATTTGCTAATGGAGGGGCCTATCCTCCAGACTTGAGTCTGATCACCAAAGTAATTCCTGATTCCTGTTTAAGTTTTTTAGGGTTTTATCATCCTGTCAGCAAATTCTTACCTTCTGTCCCCTCAGGCTCGTCACAATGGACAGAACTATGTATTTGCACTTCTAACTGGGTACCGTGATCCTCCTGCTGGCGTTTCGGTGAGTAGTGAATCTTACACCACATAATATTCTTTTTTTTTTATTGTATCTCAACTTAGGATTTAGAAGAATTTACCACCTTGGACTTGCATTAGCTTTTGGTGAAGAACACCTTAATTTACGCTATTGACATTCTCATGAGTTAGCTACGGGTTCTCCCTATTTATGTAGTTAATGTTGTGTTTTAGATTGTTATCTGTGATAGACATGTGCACCAAGAGATTTTGTTGAATATGAAGATTTTGAAAGTTAACTGGTTTCAAACTAGTCGGAGTGCCACTCCTTTAATGGCTACGTTTTTACCTTAAGACTGAAGTTCTGTAATCGTATGAGCAGAAATATGCATTCTTTGTCCACTCTAACCGTTTCTTATAAGAGGAAGCATGTTTACTCAACAAAAGGAGTAGGATTTTCACAATAATTATGATCATTATGTTATCTTGAAAGACAGCTATGATCGTGATTCTGATTAATTAAATAATATACAGAAAATGTTGTATTGACATACTGATCATAGCTATGTTTGTAAATCATGACCAAGTTCTTATATTCACGACCCTTTTTATTTGCAAACTAACTTTCATGATTACACTCGAGTCCAATTTGTATATCTTTCTCTGTCCACCTAACAGTCAATCTACAAATGTCTTGCAGATCAGGGAAGGTCTGCACTATAATCCCTACTTCCCTGGGGGGGCTATTGCAATGCCTAAAATGCTTAATGATGGTGCTGTCGAATATGAAGATGGCACCCCTGCAACAGAGGCTCAGGTTGGTTGGCCCTCCTATATCGCCAGTTGGTTGTTAGGCATACGTTGTCTCTTTTGGTATTCCAAACTTGTCTCTTTAATTTATATATATCTGCAGATGGGGAAAGATGTCGTGTCATTTTTGAGTTGGGCTGCAGAACCAGAAATGGAAGAAAGGAAACTGGTAAGCAGTCCTTAAATGCTTCAAAATTCTAAGACCAATTGACCAGCCCTATAGCCTTTACTAGCAAAAAACCATATGCATCTTGACGTTGAGTTGCAGGGTTTTTCTTTTTGCAATTTGCTTCCAACTTGGTCACGGATTCTAGAACTAGAAAAATGTTGATAGGTTTTGTTATAAAAATCGCAAAATGTTTTGATAAGCAAGTGAAGAACACCGAATCGAAACAGTAAAATCAATGCTAATTTCTGGTTGTATTACTCACAATCGAAAGATTAACAAAGGGTTTTTTGCCTTTCGAGAGGCCAGAGATTCTTCATAGAACTCACGTCCAAATTGTGTACAAAACAGAATGCTCATCCCAACTCCTACTCGCAGCTGTTTAGCAGGCTCTTAAAGCCACTTTGCTCTTTCTACCCCTTGTAATAGAATACTCCTACTCCCAAAATTGCCCTGATCAAAACTACTCCCCATTCTACCCCTTTACTCCTAGCGGATATGACTGATAGCAACTTCTAGGGTATAGCAGTAAGTATGACTTTTGATTTGATATAAGAAGTTAGGTGTATAACGAATTACTAAAGATGCACATAGACGACATACGTGTGGTCTCTGGGCCAAGTTACTTTTAGACCTTTTCTTAATAAGTTACAGGTTGTGTGTATCTATAATCATCATATTGATTTTGGTTCAGATGGGATTCAAGTGGATTTTCGTACTTTCACTGGCCCTGCTTCAAGCTGGATACTACAGGCGTATGAGGTGGTCTGTCCTCAAGTCTCGCAAGCTGGTTCTTGACGTGGTCAACTAAAGATTCGTCTTGGTCAAAGGTTTGTGACAAGACTTGGAATGAGGAATAATATAATTTCTGTGAAAGAATACTAGTAGTACCATGCATTTTTTTGGCCTGTTCCTCGTGTATTGTGTGTTTTGGTAATGTGATAGTAGCACTAGTTGGTTCATTTTGGAACTTGGAAGCAAGGAATAAGGGAGTCATTTGTTTTATATATTAAATGTTCTGAAATCCGTGGTCGGATGGTACTTTGCTGTTTTGTAATGGATTTACGAGTTTTACAGTTTTACCCGTCGGCTTCTGAACATTCAAGACTTGAGTATCTGCATGTATTAGATACACAATTTACCTCCTCATGAATGATGATGGTGGTGGGAGTGTAAGCAAATATAACTCAGCTTGCACCAGTAATTCCAAAGTGGCAAGAGATATAGGCGAGAGGTTCGTAAGTATTTGAAGTAATGTACTTGAAATTAAAAAAATGGACAGCGCTAGTGTAATTTCAGATCAAATATATACTTGAGATTTTCCTTTTTAATGGAATTAGGATTCATTTTTTATTCTTAATTTATAATAAAATATATATATATATATATATTTTTTTTTACATTTTATTTGTATCACACAACTACTTATACTAATTTAATTTTACTAAAGAAGCATGGGTATCTTAAGTGATTTTTAACCATTTCATAAATCTGGACGATCACCAGCTAAACAAGATTTTATTTTATTTTTAAAATCGGAGGTGAATAAGTTTCACTATTTACTTGTTGAGCAACCAAATATATGAAAAAGGTAGAATGAGTAAATCTTAAACATAAATATTTAAAGTTCTGAAATTCACAAATCATAATTATTATAAGTTGTATGTAAAAAGATATAATATAATAAAAATTAGGTTATGGATGTATCCATGATATTCTATAAAAATAAAACTGATTTATGAAAATGTTGTTAAGAGGGAATTGATGTTTAAAAGCAAGAGTCTCCTCAAAGTTTCATCACCATATCAGGCAGGCTTCACTCACGTGCGTCTGCAATCTGCATCACATGCTGATGCAGAAACACCTTTCATTCTGAAAACGGCGTCAATTAACGGCCTACATTCATTCTAAACTCTCACTCTAAAATAAATAAAAGAGACCGTCACTTCCCTCTCCCTCTCCCTCTCCCTCTCCCTCTCCCAAGAGTCTCACTTCAACTTTGCTTGCTTATGTGCCGTACGATCGCAGCCACCACGAAGTTTCTGCGCCTCCGTCGTCATCAGGTCACTGATTTTCTCCCAGACAGGTTCTTGCCACTTCGCCAACTTCAATTCTGGTGGACATCTTTTGGTTAGGGTTTTATGTTATTGTTTCTCGAGTCATTGGTGTTGATTATTCGAGGAGTTTGAATCAAGATCCAATCCCAACTCAACATAGCAAAAATTCCTTCTTCTCAACCGGAAAAGGGATTTTTGCGGTGGGATTAGAGTTCTCCCTTTCGCCACTGTGTATGCTCTTTCTCTCTTCTTTTTTTCCGTCCTAATGCACTGTAATTCAAATTCCAGATGGCGGAATAGGCAAAGTCGATGTTTCACATCAGAGTAGCTGTAATCATTTAAGAAAATTAATCGATAGCACGCGTTGAGTTTGTGCGAGATTTTAATTTTCACAAACCCAAATATAAATGTAATCTAACCGAAAATCAATATTTAAGCATATACTGTGATGATCAAAGGACAATATGGGAACTGAGTACTGGGTTTAGTCATGGATCTTTTGGGTGAGTTTAGTGGCTTGTCCTGAACTTCCAGGCAAGTGTGAAGAAATATTTTGGCTAGGTTCTAATACACACCATTGTGAATAGGGTGTAAAAGTTTTAGAGGCGTCATGGCAAAGAAGGATAGGTTTCCTGATGCTTATTCTGGGGGATTTCCTCCCAATGAAGAATCTGAAGTGTCTGGTTGTTCTGGACGCAATCATATGGAAATATCTGCCTATGAGAACTCAAGCGGCCCTAGAAAAAAATGGATTAAATTGATCTCTGCATCGCACGATGGTTTTGGTGTGCCCATACAAAGTGTCCCCTTGTCAACACTACCATCTTCTGAAAAACACAAGTGGTTACTTCGGTTGCAATCTGAACTTGATTTAATTAGGACATTTCAGAAGAGAGTTGACGTGGACAAGGCTCAGGTTACAGTGTCATCTTCCAGCAATATTATTAACTGCAGCAATGTCCATGGAACCCAAACGAACTTTAGAAAATCAATAGATCCACAGGCTCAGAAGGCACATAGCTTGAGTCGAGGTGTTGCAGGAAGGTTTCAATCCGTCAACGAGCCAGCTGTACCAGAGACTTTCAGTCTACTTTTGAAAAAACAGTGTGAGAACTTGTTAAAGAAGTTAATGTCACATCCGCATGGTTGGGTGTTCAATAAACCTGTTGATGTTGTTGAACTGAATATTCCAGATTACTTCAATGTCATCAAGAGACCCATGGATCTAGGGACAGTGAAACAAAAACTTGGCTCAGGCAATTATTCAAGTCCATTTCAGTTTCTTGCTGATGTCAGGCTCACGTTCTCCAATGCCATGACTTATAATCCTCCAGGCAATGATGTGCATGTCATGGCGGATATTCTTAGTAAATTTTTTGAGCTAAGGTGGAAGCCCATTGAGAAGAAACTACCAGTAAGTGGTTCTCAACAACAGCCTGTTCATGAAGAAATAGATTTAGTTAAACCAATGCCTCCCTCAAAGAAGAGAAAAATTACCTCGATACAACCAAACATCTTGCCAGAGCCAGTTAAGTTGGTGATGACCAATGATGAAAAGCATAATCTAAGTAGGGAGTTGGAAGCACATCTAGGAGATCTACCAGATAATATCATCGACTTCTTGAGGCAACATGGTTCGAACGCGAACGAAGATGGAGAGGATGAGATTGAGATTGATATTGATGATCTCAATGATGAGACCCTGTTTGAGTTGCGCAAGAAGTTAGATGACCATATCCGGAAGAAACAAAATGATGCAAAAGCAGAACCTTGTGTTATCGAGGTATTCATGTTTTTCTCTCCTTCATTCTTAATAGAAAATTATAACCATGCCTTGATATCCTATAACAATGTTATTTCTATTTTGAGTGCAGCTCCTAAATGAATCAGGGCTTAGCAACTCAACTATGCAATTATACAAAGGTTAGTAGTCTTTCCTACCCCCTCCTGTCATGTATATCAGATAACTGTGAGTTAACAGCAGGTTTTCATGCCTATCTGGTTATGGTTTTAACATATTACAGGCAATGATCTTGCGGATGAGGATGTAGATGCTGGTGGGAATGAGCCTCCCGTTTCAAGCTATCCCCCAGTTGAATTAGATAAAGGAACAAGAAAAATAGACAACAATCAGACTACTTCAGGCACCTCAAGTGGTAATTAGGTTATGCATTTAATTTTACTATGATTTGTAGTAAACTTCAATCTTATAAATTCATTGATGGGTTATGGTAGGTTCTTAATTTACTGGTAGAGGTTTTATATGCTTAATATAAAAGAATAATATAATTTTAATCCCAATAAAGCCTTCATTCTGTTGAAGTTTCTGGCTAAATAGGCAACTTCACTAGGCTATTGAAGTTAAGCTTCAAATCGATGAACTTAAGGTCTCAATTGCCTAATTGAACTTCCTGATAATGACCGTGAGTCAAAAGGGACCCAATCTATAATAAAATATGTGTCTTTCTATTTAATTTGATGAAGTTCTAGCATTTATTTATTAGTTGGGGATGCTGGGTTTTAAAGACTATTGGTTTTACATTTTTTTTCTATAAACCATCAAGCATAACAAATGAAGATGATTGGAAAGCAATAGAGAAGAGAAGTGCAAGGTAGAGAAAGGGTGGAAAAGATAAAATATTTCGAATGATACAAATTTTAGTTAACTTTGGTATTGTTGGTGCTCAAGTCAGATTCAGACCTAAGTTTATGTTGATATGTCAAATAGTCAAAGTTCTCCAATACAAAGAATACAGTCTCTCATAATTGGTCGAGACATTATGGCTAGGTGGTGATCTCAAAAATGTTAGCATGGGAACTTCAATACTGTCATATATAGGCATCTCCAAACTCTGCAGTTCATATATAGGCATCCATGAAAAGCGAACAATATGATTGAAAAGGTGTTCTGACCGAAATGGTGTACTACCTCTCACTTGTGTCGAGAAGATGGGACTAGTTTTAACAATAAAATGCTACTCTGCAATAATTATGATGGCGTTTATTATAATGCTGTTGATGTCGATTACTTTCCACCTCCTTTGCAAAGGAGTAATTTATACCAACAATAGGCTTATGTAACTTCTAAACTAAATTCAGTCAGGCCTTCGCCTCAAAACTATGAAGGAATAATTGTTGATGGAACCAATGTAGTTTCTGCTTTTTTGGGACTTAACTGATGAACTTGAGAGATAGATCACCAACTGCAATGCACAACTGGAGTCTGTTCACAACATGTATAGATTTATACTTGTATTCGGAAGATTGTACTCAGGACTCATACTGCTCAAAGTGCTATTGAATGGCTAAGGTGGAATGTTCTTATATTATGAAACTTTAGTTGGATATTCAGAGGTTTCGTTCAGAATTCATATTGCCAAACATTAGGAGTTCAATCATAGAAGAATAGAGGCCATGAATGTTCTCAAATATAGAATATATAAAACTACAAAGAAACAAAAAGAAGTTACAGGTTTCTTGTTGGACCATCATCAAAACCATTGCCACCAAATTCTGGTTCTTTTTAACAGTTTCTAACCTTTTTATGGCCCTATCATCCTATCCAAGTGCTAGTTAACCTCTCCATATCCTTATTTCTCTAAAGGAGTTTCACAAAAGTATGATCACCTGGGTGATTACGGATGCAGTTTATTTCTTTCTTCATTGATGAACTTCTTTTCTTCCCATCAGTTTCTTGCTTCAGATTCCGCGGGAACTTGTAAATCCAAAAACAATGGCCTAGCTTGGAGTTCTCTCCTTGAACCTCTCTGTGTGTCATGATAAGTTCTTGGTTATAGAAACTGGTTGACCATCCATGTCTAACCTGATGGTTTTATTTATAGTTCGGGCTCATATGACCTAAAACCTATGGTTGATTGTCAAATGTGCATTGGTCTTGTTGTTGATCTTTGTCTTGTTTGATAGTTGATCTATTTATGGTTTGTGCAGATTCTGATTCAAGCAGTGCTTCTGAAAATGAACTAAAAGATGTTAATGCTTCAAGTCCGTTTAGTGGGGCGAAGGTATATTTTGGATTTCTAATTTTGTTGTTTGTTTATGATATATAGTGCAAGGCAGGAGGCAAATATTACATGGCCTTTGTGAGGTGGAAAATCTTCTCTCGTTTGTCTTATATATGTTTGTACATGTATATATGCAGGAAATTGATGTCGTTGGAGCAGATTTGGATCAGAAGACAGGTAAAAACTATTCAGTTGAAAGTAGTGAGGTTTTCTTCATCATGGGGTTCAGTCATGCATTTCATTTCTGTTCTCTTAATCATTAATTAGGTGGTCTTAAACATCTGTAAGCTGCTTTGACAGATGAAAAAGTAGACTAAGATTCTGGGCAAGGGGATAGTTAAGAATGCATTTGCTCTAGACCCTTTTGTCATTTTCATGTTGTGGGTAGTTTATTTGGCTAGAGGAGAACTTGGGATGCAATTTTGAGTCCCATTGACTGACCTAAGGGGAAATGAAGATGAGACCCACAACATGGAGAATGGATCATGAAATAAAATAGTATTAACAATGACTGAAATTTGAGGTAACTAATATAATTTTCCATGATGCTGATTTAAACTTCAATTTTGGCAACTATTAGCTTCTACTTGTTCAGCAAGAAGTAAAAATTGTTGCAACTTATAGCATTTATAATTTCTGGCTTTCTGCCATTCATTGGTTTTCAATCAAGGAAAGGTACTGCAACCCCTTGCATTCAATTGAGAATCTACCAAACTTTGATCACTATTATAGAATATGGCAGTGCCATTTGACATCCTTGTGAGTGTGGCTATCGTGTCTCATGTTTTGAGTAAAAATGTCACTGAATAGTAGTCAGTTTCAGTGATGCTGTAATCCTGCTGACCTGTGTTTGGCGAGAAATAAAGATGATTACCAATTAGGACACACTTTGTCAGAAAGATAGGTTCCAACTTCCAGTCAGTGTTGGCATTAAACTAGTGTTGAATAATATTACATAAAGCATAAATGTTAGGTAACTTTACCGTTAATTTGGACAAATTTTGCTGATGGTTGTTTGATGCACATGATTTTTAGGGTCAGTTAGTGTGGTGGACCATGTCGAACAAACATCACATCAGAAGCCAAACTCTGTTGAATCAGATAGCCAAAAGGATGATGGTAAGCATTGGAGGTGCAAAACGTTCTTTCGTGTTTTTTAGGTCTTCACTTACGATCATTCATTTTTAAAATTTAGGGGACAGTGCTCCAAATGAGAGACAGGTTTCACCTGATAAGCTCTATAGGGCTGCAGTTTTGAAAAACCGATTTGCTGATACAATTTTGAAAGCTCGAGAAAAAACACTCAACCAGGTTGGTTGCAGAATCAGTTACTTTGATCCCTGCAATGTTTTCCACCAAATTCTCTGATGCGATTGATCTGTCAGGATGAAAAGGCGGACCCTGAGAAACTGCGTCGTGAGAAGGAGCAACTCGAAAATCAAAAAAGGAAAGGTTAGACGGAGGTTTGAGCTTGCAAAGGTGAATTGAACATTATTACTCCAATAGTTTTATTTATACGCACATGGCTTCTATCTATAAATAGAAAAAGCTCGACTGCAAGCAGAAGCCAAGGCAGCAGAAGATGCCCGAAGGCGAGTCGAGGCAGAAGCTGCTGCAGAAGCAAAACGGAAGAGAGACCTTGAGAGGGAAGCAGCTCGACAGGCATTATTGAAGGTATTTCAAAAACAATATCTCATGTTTTTGTTGATTTCACGTTGTTGTATGTCAATTACATTAGTTACTAGAAGAAAGGGCGGGGGAGCCTGGGAATGGTTTTAACGAAAAAGGGATCATATTCTTAAATTATCGTAATCACATAAATTTAATTCCAATTGAGATGGAATATCAAAAATCGAGTTCCCCTTGAGGTGATGGATGATCTATGCCTCCTTCACATTAGATTGCCTAATGAAACTCCCTTAAGCTTGGTTCATTTAACGACAAATTGGCAAAGAATGATGTGATTGTGAGAATCTAGAGTTGAGAAAGTATAAAAAGTTGGGTGATCATTTTATGTGACTCGGTGTTTTTTTCTTTTCTTGTGTGCAACTTAGATGGAAAAGACGGTTGAGATCGATGAGACGTCTAGGTTTCTGAAGGACTTGGAAATGCTAAGGGGTGCGAACCCTGAACCGAGCTGCTTAGAGGAGTTAATCCCTGAATTTGATGATGGGTTCAAATTTGGAGCCAGCAATCCGTTGGAACAACTGGGGTTGTATATGAAGAGGGATGAACATGAAGAAGAAGAAGAAGAAGAAGAGGAAGAAGAAGAAGGAGAAACCAATGAAGTAGATGTGGAGGAAGGTGAAATCAACTGATACATGTATGGTTTGAAGTTGTAAAAAAGAAAGAAAGGCAGTTTTGGTTTGGTATACATGATTGTATTGTATTGTATCGTATCGTATTGTATTGAGCTTAACAAAAGAAAGAGATGCAATGAAACAAGTTATGTTATTACCTTTTCAAAGAGAATCTACTTTTACAACTTATAAAACCACCCAAGAGTGCATTGAAATTTTTAGTTGGAAAATATGGAATGACATTCCAGTTTGTAACAAGATTGCTTTCCAGTTGAAAATTATCATATATCATATATCATATATATGTAAGATATATTTTTTTTACAACCTTGTGCATTTGTACAATCTTTGCAATCCAATTAATTGAGATATTTATAGAAATGATTGAAGTTCATTTATTATGATTTGAATATTTATGGAATATGAATAGAGTTTATTAATTATGATTGATATTTTATATTAGGAAACAATTAATTGATTAAAAACTGAATGGTTGAGATGAGAGTTGTATAGGGTGTAGGAATGACAAAGGGCTTTTACACATACACATATGTATATATAAAGAAAAAGAATTCATAGCTTTATTACCAATATACAACAATACTTTTTTTTTTTATTTGAACTTATTTGGAGTGATGCTACACACACTTCTCTTATGATCATTATCACCATATATTTCGGCCGTCGACCATCCCGAATCATCCACCTGGTTTTGCATCTCCATAACTCCATTCTTGGTCTCGTAAAGTACGTTACCCTTTTTCATCAACATATAATTATACCATTTATGTATCTCCAACCCTTTTCTTCATCAACATTCCTTTGCCTTGGGTTGACCTTCCTTCCATTAGGGTTTCAGGGCATTTTGTTTTCGGAATTAGGGTTTCTAGAATAATGGATTTCGGAATCCTAGTTTCTTCCCTCCATCACCTTCCCCTCTTCTTTTCCATCTTCTTTCTCATTTACTTGACTGCCTACTTGTTCCTCTTCCGAAACTGGACTTCTAAACTCCGGCCCGAAGCTGCCAGCTGTTTGATCTCACTTGCCCATGGCACCCCTGCTGTTTTCTTGGCCTCTCAGGCTATCCTTTCCGACCCCCATCATGGCTTTGCCTCACCCAACACCGATTTTCAAAACTCCGTTCTTGAATATAGCATCGCATACTTTTTCATGGATCTTTGTCATTATTTGATCTTCAACCCTAGCGATATCCTCTTCATAGGCCACCATTTGGCCACCCTTTTCGTCTTTTTAACCTGTCGATACCTTGTCTTTCATGGAGCTTATGGTATTTTGATTTTACTTATACTGGCGGAGGTCACCAGCTTCATTCAAAACATTTGGACGCTGGCCAGTGCGCAGAAAGCCGATTCTAAAATTGCAGCCCAGGTGTTCGCTGTTTTGTCACCTCCATTTTATGCACTGTATACTGTTGTTAGAGGTTTCATGGGACCTCTCTTTGTCTATAAAATGCTTGCCTTTTACTTAAGTGGGGCTGCAGATACTGTGATTCCTATGTGGGTTTGGCTTTCTTGGATTTGTGTTGTTGTTGCAGCCATTTCAGTTAGTATACTTTGGATATCTAACAGGTGGCTTGATTTGTACAGAGAGAGACTAGTCATACTTGAGAAGGAGCAGAAAATTAGATAGGAAACACTTTTGAACATTTGGAGTACATCCCCTGTATCAATCATCCCTTAATTTCTAAGAAAATCATGTACCCGATGTTAGCTTTATGAAATACTACAATAAATGTTACTGGTGGTGCCTTGAATCTTATTGTTTTGTGTTTGAATGCTTCATAGAATTAGTTTCTTGAGCTAGAGATGTATATTATTCCAAAGTATTGAAATCAAAGGCAATACTTTAATTGCTACATTTTTTCAAGTGGTATGATATTTTTTTTATGCTATTGATGATGACGAAGATGTAGCACAATCTAAACTTTTTCCTACTTTTTCTTCCGTTTTGTAATTTGATAATTTGAACTCTATGCTTTTGATGTGGTTGATTTCACAATATGACAGGCTTCTCTGCAATCTGAACTTGATTTTTGCAAATTGACAAGCTTCTAGGTATTTGGAACTACTTTCTGCAATTTGACAAGCTTCTTTATATTCGAAAATAAGTTTATCAGTTTGACAAGCTTATCTGCATCATATCAATTTCTCTAGGTATCCCAAGAGCAATTGAAACTCTTAGGATTTGCAGGTTTCTTGTTTGAAACTTACCTATGATTCTTGAATACAATATGACAATACATACAAAACCGTTAATGGTAATCAAATGTGTTTTGGGCTATGGGATGACCGCCAGAAAAAGGAAATTGATATCACTTGGTGTGTGCCTGTTTGGAGCGAAACTATAAGAATGGTGGCCTCCCATTAATGGAAGATGAGCTTATAGGTAAGGTGAAGACGTATTCCATGTTGTTAGTTGAGAGACTTTAAGCCATATGGACTAGTACAGCTCCATAGATAAAGTAACATGCAGTTTTAGCCACCAAAAATGGCATTCTGAGCCAGACTGCTTATGAAGGAAGATGATAGGTAAATGCTTTTTCTTTGGTCAATGTTAGCAGATGGATTTCCTGCTACAAATGGAAAAATATATAAGTTATGATTTGCTTCAACCGTATGGTAGCAAAAGTGGTGTTAGACCAGCACTCTTTCAGGCAGGGGTCTAACTGATGACCCTTGCAGAAAGGCTTCTAACCAGGGACCAATACCTGGAAGACTGATCCTGGGTTCTAGCTAGCTTATATGAGTGTGCATTCCGCAACCTCCTAATTCGTAATTTAGCTTAACTATCAACCCTTTTGTCCTCTTTATGAACCCAATTACACAAAATGGCTTGATCATTCACTAAAATCACCAACATATACATGATGAATGTAGCATTCAAGGAGAGAAACATGATAGTTGGCAATAACATGGATAAATGTTATTGCATCAGAAGCACTTTTAACAGCAAGTCAATTTTGCAGACGTGAGGCCCCTTCTAAACAATCATTCTTGATTTTTTTCTCTTTTCATTTTTTGTTATTTTCCCCTTCCCCTTGTTCTGCAAACTTGTAGCTGAGGAAAATGCGAATGATTGAAGTTGGGAAAATGAGAAAGTTGAAATGAAGGGGAGCGGAGATCACAATGAAGTTTGTGATTTCAGTTTTCTGCAAACATTTATTTGTATGGGAGATTTCCTCTTGTGACCTAACAAACAGATCAACCGTTCTGTTGGGTCCTCATTGAACTGTTTTGCAGGTAGAGTCTGATGCATATCAACCCATTGCTGAAGGGTGCAGGGTTATTACAAGTAAAACCCACACCAGGTCCCTGTATTGAGGATCTCTTAGTATTTAGAGAAGAATTAATAGGAAAAACAAGAAAGCTCTATTTGTTGTGCAACTGCTGAAACTGCATTTACTGGCATTGCATTGCAATTAATAATTGCATGTCTGTTATATATATGCTCGTCTTTGTGAGAACATTTGTGCTTGGGACCAGTGTTTGACTCTAGAAGCAGTGGAGAAATGGGGCAGACTCTTGTCCTCTGCTTGTTAGGAACCAAGATCTCAAATATTCATGATGAATAATAACACTTATTATTATAGGTGATTCTTGATCCCTAAAATAGTAAAAGGTTAATTTACCCACCCCCTTTTACTATTTTCTTTTATCAAGTGTTTCTTGTACAAGCTTATACTTAAAAAATAAGAAGAGTAAATTAGTTATAATACCCCATGGCCACTTTGCCATGTGAACCAACAAACTAAGGGGCTGTTTGTTTGGCTCTTAATGGTTCCATTAAGAGCCAACCTCTTAATCGCTAAGAGGTCAAGGCTGTTCGGGAAAAAAAAAATACTCTGAATGGTTACATTTTACCTCTTAACCATTTTGCATCCAGGGGCTCTCTAAACCATTCAGACTCTTCTTTTTCCATATTTGCCCTCTCCCCCAACATCTCCCCCACCCTCTCGTCGCCTCCTCCCCCCACCTTACGAATACGATCGCCCTCTCCCCCAACCAGAGTGTCGTTCGTCGCCACCGTCGTTCAAAGACCCTCCCGTCGTTCAAAGACCCTCCCCCACCGTCGCCACCGTCGTTCAAAGACCCTCCCCCACCCTCTCGTCGCCGGACTCGCACAGCCCCTTCTATACAGCACGCCCTTCACATCGCCTCCCACCCCCACGATCGTTGGTCTTCGTCTTCCCCCTCCC